ACCTGATTGTACAGCTTGTTTTAATATGCTCAGTACCTAATACACAATACAAAATTCTGTTCGTAAATACGCGTGTTCTCCGAGTGTTGCTTAGGCATTAAGCAAGCATTATCAGTTATCGTCAAGCGGTCCGTTAACTGTCGCAGTCACCCATTTCAGCTCCTCTACACCTCGTCGACCGGAAACACACATCACAAGAACAGGATCAATCGACCAGCGGACAATCCTTCTGTGAGTCCGTTCCTTGTACCGTTTATTTCATTATTATTCGTATATATAGTATCTTTTCCACTACAATCATCGTCGGTAGACATTCCCTGAATAGGGGGCTGTTGCGTACTATCTCCAGTAGATGTTGACGGCGTATCACAGGGCAGGTTTTGTTAGGTTACTTCGGCAAGATCTTCAGTCAAAGTCGAAGTTTCGTTGAAGTGAATTTGGTCGATTTGGCGTCGATGGACCGTTGCGTCTGTCAGATCAGTTATCTCGACCATAGCTTGACTAATCCTGCGGGTAATGATTCCTCTTGATGGTCGCAAGTCGTTTCCTCGGAAGTATACGACGTCACTCGAATCCACCCATCGTAGTGAGGAACGTAAGCTTCTGGCTTTGAACAATTTCGCTGGGCTCTCCTTGATGGTAGCATGTGCAGCATTCCGGTATTGCAGTAGGAAATTGTCTAGGAGTATCTCCAACTCTACAATTTTCCTTGGATTTGCAGAAGCTATGGCACTCTTCACTGTTGTTACAAACTTTTCTGCTGCGCCATTCGAGCAGGGTGGTGTTTTGCGTAGATGTCGGCATCCAATATTGTCCAGCCATGTTTTCAACTCCGCAGCGCAGAATTGCGACCCATTGTCAGTCACCAACACTTGAGGAACACCCTCTCGACTGAAACACTTTCGTAGTACCCGCATCACAAACGATGTAATTGGTGTGCTGGTTAGAAACACTTCAGACCATTTTGAGTATGAATCGATAAGTACTAGTGTGTGATAATAGCCGAGAAATGGTCTAAGGAAATCGGTGTGCACACGTTACCACGGAATACAGCTTTCTGGCTATGGGACCCAA